GAAACAGTATCAAAATGAAATGGCCAGTGAAATTTCACACAGCCCTACTGCACAGTAAGCTTTCAGTGCATTAATAGCATGTGTAGATGCACCTATTGATAGTGTAAAGTAAACAATAAGTACAGCATGCTTGTGAGGAAACTTGGAGGTCCCCCCTCAACTCTTACCCCGACTAGAAACTTGTCTGGTTTCTGGTTTTCTTATTAATTCCAAGGTGCAGTTTGTCAAACATGTTACTGGTCTCTTGAATGTGTCTGAAGAGAATGTGTGTGGACTCTTGTGGAGCAAATAAAGTTCTGGCACTCTCCTAATAAGTGTCACTCTGGCAAGGCTCATATTTCCTACTTAGTGTTTCCCATATACCATACCCATATTTTCTATGTCTGATTTAAAATGTGTCATAAAATCATAGAAATGTAGGGATGGAAGAGGCCTCAAAATATATTCTTATCCAGCCTGCTGCAGTGAGACAGGATTAAATATATAAAGGCCAGCCTGATAGATCTTTGCCTAACTTGTTCTTAAAAAACTCCAAATAAGGATATTCTTATATTTTGCTAACTTAAGCATTAGAAAGTATGCATATGTTGAAAGACTGTTATCATGTGACTCTCTTTTCTCAGCCAGACAAACGTAATTTTTTTAGTCTTTTTTCATAGGTACAGGTTTTTAAAATCTCTTACCAGTCTTGGTAGTGTTGAGGTGATGTTGTTGCCATGACGGATCAGGGTATGTATGAGAAATAATAATTCTTGGGGGTGGATCAATTATATGGGGACATGCAGTAAGAGTCCATACAGTTGGTACAATAAAATGTATCACCCACAAGAATTCTTGCCTTCCTTACCAGCTTTCTTGCTCTGGGCACTATCTCTAATTTGTCTATATCTTTCATAAAGACTATTGCCCAGAATTGGACATAGCTGAGTAGAGAGAAATAATTTTCCCCTATGTAATACATACATTGAAAAAATACATTGTTAATACATCCAAGAATGTGAGTTGCCTTTTTGTAAAAGCAAAACAATGTTGGCTTATCAGTAACTTGCAATGCACTCTGAGGATACCTCAGACCCTTTTCTTCAGTATTGTTGCCTAGTCTGTTACTCCATGTTTTGATTTGTATATCTGATTGCTCCTTTCTAAATGTCATGATTATATATAAGATTATTTATAGAATCTTTTTATGTCGTCTTTTATATTTCTTGATAATGATATCTAATTTTATTCCTTTATCTTTCTGATTTTACCCCTAAATGATTGCACTATTTCTTTACCTTCATCCTTAATTAGCCATACCCACTGGAAAGGAGTAGAGGGCAATAGGAGGGAGATAGTAATAAAGGTTGAACAGATGCCGCAGGGGGCCAGATTACAACCCACAATATGCCTGTATCTCTCTCTCCTTTTTTCTCTGTCTCCGACTACAATGAAGTCTTGTTTACATTTTTATATGATTCCTTTTTGATTTTCAGACTCTTAAAGAAATCAAGATATAACTATAATATATAATTATATATATTATATAATATATATTAATTATAATTATAATATAATTATATAGCTCCTTATCTATCCACATCGGGATAGTTTGTTATTGTGCCCTGAAAATTGCCTGGCAGCTCCTCCGCACTCTTTTATACCTAAGCTTATCTTTGCAAGAGTCTGTACCTACCAATTCCCTTAATTTGTTTAATCCTTTTTTTAAAATCCATTATATATTTTTATATCCATTTTTTATTTAGTTGCTCCCCCGCTTCCTTTTCCAAGAGCACGGAACTCTATTGCATCTTCCTTGCTTTTACCCAATTTACTTTACCATAATATTGTCAACTAGTTCCTATTAGAAGCAAATCTAAAAAAGGTGCTCCTTTCTTTTCTGAGAAAGCATTATCCCCAACATTTCAAGAACTTGATGGAGGCCAGCTTAAGAACTCTTCAGTTGAATACTCAAAAACGAACAGAGAAAAGAATCACGTGTCCTTTCTGCAAATCATAGCAGCAGTTTGCTGACATTTTACCACTTAAAAAAATGCTACCACAAGTCATTCTATTACAGAAACATTTCTTTTTTTAAAGGGGAACATAAGGACATGGGGGTTTAACTGGTTAGTGTGTTCCACGTTTGCAAGAAAACGTGGCCATTGAGACAGCAGTGACCTTTTAGTCTAATGCTGTAATTTGTCAGCTCTTGCAAAAAAAACAAGGACTTGGCTGGTACTAATAGGGTCTGTACTGTATACTCACCACTCTTGTAGTTGTGTGATCCTTTCTAATCCTCTCTGCAGTTCTGGGCTAATCCAGTCCTCTTTAGGTTCCTTTCCACAGTAATATCCATTTCCATTTGCCTTTAAGCTTTTGTCTTTATTTATTTAAAATCCCCGCTGTTTAACACTTGAGCTGCTGGTAACATAGATAACCAAGTATTCTGTCTATTAAGACATGGACCTATCTCCCTTCCCCCTTCCCCTTGACCTTCCTTCTGATCAGGATGATGAATAAACACTATGATTTAGCTTTACATAATATCTCACTTGATATGTTGTACTTAGTTTAGCACATTTGTTACTTTATGGCACTATATTAAATTAAATCCAAACTATTGCATTCTACTGTGTTTAAGCCTGTGAACTGACCGCTGTATTGTTTTTAGTTGTGCTAGATATAATGTCAATTTCTGCATGATATACTTTCAGCACCAATGCACATTTCAGTATCCATGTTATAAACCTCCAGCTGTTTGCTTGTTGTGTGCACTCATCAGAATCTGCAGTAAGACCAACTTTATATAATTAAAATGCTTCCTCAGGAATTTCTCTTTGGCTGAAGGAGCTCAGCAAAGGCATTAGTTGCAAATAAAAGACCATGCCCTATTGTTGCGTGCAAAGTATCTCTTTAGAAGCGTCTGTCTCCGTCATTGCAAGCTCTCAATAGCAATGTAATGATCTTTGTCAAATGTAGATCCAGTTACTGCTAGCAACAGAAGGCATATGTCCAGGCTGAACAAAAGAGCACTTATTTTCACATTTCACTGATGATATTGAATGATAACATTTTTGCATAATCCTAAAAAATTATTATGCAGATGTTGTGGAAATGACAGAAAATGCTATTACAATGAGATGCTTTGTGAAGGGAATTTAAACTGTGCATATGTCCCTGTTTTAATGCGCCTGTCAAATTCTGAATAATAACTCTTTGCACATTAATGCATGACTTGAAACAAGACTCTTGGTTGTTTCTTGTCTATAGTGTTACATATTTTACCATTTAATGTCTTATACTTTTCTATCTCAGGGAAAAGCTAGGCAGCAATGCCTGAATATTTGGCTACTGTTTCATTGGATAAATTAACCTGTACATCAGTATTACATGGGCTACTTAATATGGAGTTTATGACCCCCCAAAAAAGGAAAAAAAAAAGAGGGGAAGTCACTACAAGAATTAAAAAAATCAAAAGGTCCACAAGATAATTTTAATGTTCTGTTGACTGAAAAGTTGTTCTGAGAAATACTGCTGCATAGTTCATTACAAGCTTATTTTCTGGACTGTACGGGGAATAAGTTAGATAGGCCGTACTTGAAAATATGTTGTATATAGGAATAGCAATAGAAGCTATGTAGCCTGTTTAGATACAAAATGTCCTAATTTACTAAGTGTACGAGGCAAGGATTTCTTAGGCTAATATATTTTATTGGACCAGCTATGTAGTTGGGATACAGTTAGACAAGCTTTCAGCTACATCAGATATTCCTGAAAAAGAATGCCTTGCATTTGAAATCTTGTCTAACTGTATCCTAACTACATAGTTGGGCCAATAAAATATATCAGCCTAAGAAATCCTTGCCTCTTGCATAATTTCTGGAAGATCACAGCAACAACACACAGTGACAACATCACTCATAAATTGCTTTTTCATTCTGCTCATTCTGCCACTATATATTTTGCCTCTTCTTAAGCCCCCTTCCCTGGGACTTCCAGGCCCAAGCAGACATCTTGACATTGTATCAGAGCAGGGGTGCTCAACCCCCAGCCTGTAGTTCAGATCCAGCCTGCAGTATCATGTCATCAAGCATGTGGAGCTCTCCATGGGTCTGGATATTTTGTGACAGGAGAGTGGTGGCACTGCTACCTTGCTGCCAAATCTCTGGACCCATGGGGAGTCCCAAGTTTACTGGATTGGATGCCCATTCCCAGTGCTCAGGGAGGGGTGGGGAAGGTGCTAGGTCCTAATCCAGGTTTATAGGACAGTATCAACGTCCAGTGCTTGAGGCAGGGAAGGAGTGGTGCCAGGCCCCAGAACCTGATCCTGTCATATGGACTTGATTTGGCCCATGGAGCCAAAAGCTTGAGCACCACTGTTTTAGAGAGTGGGTTAAGTGGCCTGCTCCTGTTATGTCAGTAGAAATCCTTCCAAGAAAGTACCATTGGTCAATACCAGTAGCACCTCCTATAGCTAAATGTCTTTGAAATTAAATATAAAGATTTTCCCCCCACTGGTTCAAGGTGCTTTAGATAGATTATTTGAGATATACTCTTGGGCTGCTTGCAGATGTTA